GCCCGCCAATCACGGGTCCTGACCCTTCGGCGTGGGGATACCAACTTTGCCCGTGCAAGCCCGTATGCTGGGTGAGCTGTGCCAACGCCGCCACAGCCAGAACTGTCGTCGGGTTCAGCCCTAGCCCGACCCCATCTGTCCTTTGGGGCAAATTCTGATGATACGGTAACTGAGTATGTACTTGCCCATGTGATGCCAAAGAGGGTTGACTTGAAACTCGCGGTAGATGAATCGGCGGTGCTTGATAACGCCATTGTTGATGGGTTTGTGGGTGTTGTTGTGGGTATGTATTTGAATAATTAGGAGCATAATACGATGAGTATTGTTGTTGGGGTTGTTGATACTGCTGTGGTGGTTGTTGTTTATGTTGATGAGGATCTTGTTGGTATTGATAATTGGAGTGATTGAATTGACGATCATAAGCTTGAAGATGAGATGGGTTATAGGGTTGTGAAAAATGGTAAGGATATTGGTTTTGGTGAGATGAATAATCCATTAGAAGAGTTGTTGCTTGTGGACGGACTATTTAACTGATTTCTTGAGCTTTAGGATTTTTCGTTCCTCTACTCATCTGCGTTCTGCATAGCTCTCACCACCGGAGACTTGGGTCGTTGCAATTTTGGAAGTAGTAAACTGGGTTTATTTGCTGCAGTTATGACGCACAAAGTTTCTTTTGGCACAACCTTAAGGTGTTCAGATTAAGAAAATCCATATCTAGGGGTGTTCAACAATCCGAAAACCCGAACAAAATGGAAAACCAAACCAAATCGACCAAAAAAATTCATACTTTTTGGTTTGGTTTGCTTTTGGTTTTGAAATTTAAAAATCGATCAAATTTGATTTGGTTTTGGTTTTAATTAAAAAAAATCGAACCAAATCGAATATAGGAGTAGCTATTTTAAATTTATTATATACACACACACACACACATATATATATACTTTTATACAAAATTTTAAAATTTTTATAGTAAATATTAATCGTTTACACTTTTAGTACAATTCTTTACCTTTACATTCTAGTTTAATTGGCAGTTTTCTTTTGTTAAGTGTAAGAATCTATTTCATGTTAAAAATAATATATTTTTAATTGAGTCCTTAAATTATTTATCACTATTTGATTCAATTATCATCAATATATCTCGGTAATTAATAGATTTCTCAAAAGGCAATTGATTTGATAGTGTTATGTTGCAAATGTGGTCGCCGAAATGTGTGTTTGGTAGTGTATGTCTTATATTTAAGAAAAAACCGACAAATAACAAAAAAACCCGACATAAACCGAATCGAGAAAAAACCGACATAATTGATTTGGTTTGGTTCTAATATTTGAAAAACCGACTTACTTGGTTTGATTTCTTTTTAGGGAAAAACCGATCCAAACCGAACCATGAACACCCCTAAAATCCAATATGCATTAAAATTTAGACGTTTTAATTTTCAAAAAGATAAAAAAAGGCGGGGGGTGGGGGATATGATTTATTTTAACCATTAGTAATTTGCCTGAAATATAAAATATTCTTTAAAACTAGAGATTTACTTTCAGTGTTCTATTCTTTTGACCCCAGCCACTAGGGTGCCTAACTCAAGCTTTAGATCATGCTGATTGCTGACCATAAAATTTCTGCCGAATGAGGTGAGTAGTTAAAAGTCGGGATATAAGTAGGCTGTGTTGGTGAATGTGGCGACCTCCAATAATTCAACTACAATATAGTAATTTGTATCATGAGAAGAACTCGTGTGGTTGTTTTGGGAAGAAAAAAAAGAAAGAGTTTGTAACTTTAAAGATACCTCAGTTGTCCAGTATAGGAAAAGTAGGCAGAGTAATAGCTTGTTTGGCCCTTCTCCGATGTAGAAGCACTTTTTTTTTTCCAAAAAAATATTCTTTTTCTTAAAGTTAAAGTGCTCTGCCAATCTTTTGAAAAAAAAATACTTTTGAAGAGAAGCAGAAAAAAATAACATCTCTTCAATTTTTTTTTTAAAAAGCACTTTTGAAAAAAATACACTTAGAAGCAGCTTTTAAAAGTTTGACAACTGTTTCTCTCCAAAAGTACTTTTGAGAAAAACACTTCTCAAAATAAGCTGATTTTTACGGCTTGACCAAACATGCTTTAGTAATTTTCTTTAGAGTAGATGAATGAAAATTAAAGGCTAATAGTGTCTCTTGTTTATCTTGCCATGTTCTAGGTATTCTTGATTGTCTCATAAAATGATATGTAATATAATTTCCCGTTGTTTGACTCAAAAGATATTGAAACCTTTTTGAACAAATCAATCAAAGAAAGTGAAGGGGTAAATCTTAGTTAGTCATAATAAATTCCAGATCAATGAGCTAATTGAAAGAATAGAATATGAGATACAATTGGAGTAATCGATCTCTTTGAAATTCTTTGTTGGGGATCCCATTAATTGATGGGAGAGGTAGTTCTACATGTTTTTCAGGAGGTTATCTCTTTCTTCTATATTATGAAGATTCCAAGGAGAGAACTAGGGAGAGAGGATAGAGAACAACCTCCCTGATCGAAGGTTCTTCCCTATTATATATAGCCATGGGACTTTTGATATTCACCCGGTCCGACAATCTCACACTATGTCTGTCTTTCGCTGCCTTGCCTCCTAGGTGGGGTGTTGGTCATCTTGACCGCCGCTGTCAGATTTTGACGAATACAGTTAGTCCCTCCGTCTGTCGGGGTCGCCCCATGTCGGGCCAGGCAGACGGATCATGATTGTTACGAATTCGAGAGAAATCTGACTGCTTGTTCCTTGGTTGTACCTTTTAGGTTGCAAGTGAGATGACGACGTTCTTCCGATATCCTTGGACCATTGCGACCGTTTCGGAATCAAAACGTCGTTTGGTATTGAAGCGTTGTTTCGTGGTTGCCGCCATTATGACACACGTTCCTGAGGAACCGAAACATTTCGTGCCCTATCAGATTCGATTAGCGACTCTTGAGTTTCGTGCTTGGTGGATTTATGTCTCTTATAAATAGAAGGAACATATCCTTTGATTGACACACTTCTTTGACCTTTGCTTGAAAGAATTTTGCGAACTATTTTCTTCCTGATACTTTGAATTTTCATTCGCCTCCAATTGGTTGAAAACTTTCATCCTTCTTCTCCATTGTCTTTTTGCCACTCCCCCTTGACAAAATGGCTGGTGATTCTTCTCGCACTGATCTCCCTATCACAATTCCAGCACCGAAAAATGTTACTTAGGCCACTGAAGGAGTAGAAGTGGTGGAGGATGAGGAGGTCCCGTCAGTAACCGAGATCTTGCCTCATCCTGGGAGAGAATGGAATGACTTCTGCAGCCGTACCGGGGCCGAGCCGGAACCTGTCCCCTCTGTTTTAAAACAAGAAGACCTTGCAGAGTTGAAAGCTAGGTGGGGAATCCCCAATTACGTTGACATGCGGCCGGTTGTAGGGGACGACATAGTCTACTTTGACCGTCCCGGGTACTGCGTGTTTTACGCCTACCCCTTTCTTATTGGATACACACTTCCTCTCCCTCTCGTGGTGGTGGATTTCTGCCGTTTTACGAGGTATTCCCCGCTCAACTTTTGTCGTACCTATACAAGTTGTTCCTTATGTTGCTCAAGTTTGCGGAGCTCACCGGTCGTGAGATCACTTTGGATCACATGCTCAGTATCTTCGCCCCTCAACTCATTCGCGGCACGATGCTTGTGTCCTCGGGGGTCGAAGACTCTGGTGGTGAAAATGGATGACAGGGCCAACCATCGTTTCTGCGAGAATTATTTCTATATGCGGACTGAGCACATTGTGGCGGATCCAACGGGGTTCCCTGGGAAGTGAAACTTTGCACGTAAGTTTCTTGTGTTTTCACTTGGCAAGATATCCGACTGCTTTTTGTTACAGTAAACTTTATTATGTTTCTGCAGCCGAGAAATTGCCTCCTCCATCTGTCGAAGGTATCTGCGAGTGGGTGAGCGCCATCCTTCCCCATACAGCGGGGGTTCGCACCTGGTCGGCCTTTTATGAAAAATTTTGACGCAGGCCCCTTACAGGTGAGATGTCGTTTCTGTTTGCTATTTTTCCTCTCTTTTTACTTAGTTTCTTATATGCTATTTGTCGATGCCAGGGAGAGTGTGGAGAGCGAGGGCTCCTCCATTAGCTTTTCGTCAGCCGACATTATCTGCTCACCCTATTGCAGCACCTGCTGCTCGGCCTTCATCGAGGGCTGCTTCAGTCGAGTCGGCGGTAGTGATTATACCTGCAGAGGCCACTTCTCAAACTGAGGTTCTGACTCATGTTGCTCATCCGACGGGTGAGTCTCCCCGTGCTGAGGAAGAAGAAGGGTCGTCCAAAAGGCAGCGAGTGGAATTCGAGGTAGCCCCTCTGATTGTAATTCACCTAGACGACTCACCCTAGACAGGATTTGGGGCGGGGGTTGACACCGCCCCACCCGTAACGATGGAGATAGCCGTCGTATCTTCCCCATCGACGGAGATTCCTTCTACTCTCATCGATCAGCAACCTGCCGTGACGGGGGGCCAAATTCCCGAGGCTGCTGTTGTGGTTTCGGATGTACCCCCGTCCTCCGTACCTGGTCGTGCCTCCTCGTCAGCTGCTGAAAGAGGAAAAGGGAGTTGTGGTCGACGATTATGAGACCGAGTCGGACCTCGATCCTGATGATGTTAGGATGTTTGAGGAGGGTATTACCCACTCGGTGGTTCGTGCGGGAGGCCCGACCTGTATTCTTGAGATTTCTTCGGATGTTAACCTCCTAGGGGACATGGAAGATCTGGCGCCACAATTCGACATTTTGTGCTCTGCCGCCGAGAACGAGGCTCTCCGGAATGCTCCTGATGTCGATTT